ATCCACCATAAATCCAGTTTTCCATGGATTTGGGCCATATCCAGCTTTTTCTATTCGGTAGGATGTACACTTTAAGTTTGTACCCATTATGATTTTTCAACGGATTTATTTCGAGTTTTTACGATATATACAGCCGACTTACAGACGACCAAAAACACATTTTTCATCTTTGTCAACTCTGCGCTGCCATTACTCATCCAATCATATTAATCTGTATGGCAAAGTTAAGCTCTGATCTATTGACTTTAAAATAAAACTAAAACTGGCTCAACCAAGTGGATATCTGCCGAGATATAAGAAGAAATTCGAAAAAAGTCCGAAATTTAACATTTCGAACTTTAAAAAATCTTTAAAAAAACTGTGCCATCGAAAAAAAAATAATTGCTATTTTTGTGATCTAGGGGTCCAACACTAACAGAATTTGCCATCAATTGCTGGGGAGCACACCAAGAATATTATTTTGTAAACTAGTGTAATCCGATTTCATCTCACTTTTTTTAACTTCGTTCGGATTGCCTAACTTTGTTAGACAGCTAAAAACTGTTCATATACCTGACGAAGACCTAACTGGCTAAAAAAAAAAAAGTTTACAACGGGTTTTAGAAGCACATGCAAAAGCGATTTTTTATGTTTTTCACAATTGCAGTTCGCATGCTAAATTTCACAATGTGAATTGATTTATTTGTTTGATTTGTTATTCAATTAATAATTTATTTTTCGCAGATGAGCTTCGAACAGTTTCCCTAATAAACAGAGCAAATTTGCCAAGCATAGAAATAAAACTTAAGGTTTTATGCCATTAAAGTATAATGAATAGTTAGTATTTTATAGCCTAGGGCGCATCTGCCTCCAAACAAATATTCGCTCTATTTTTTAGTAACTTTCACCTGTTTCAGATAAGCCATAATGGATATGGCAAGTCAAATGGATCCTGCCCGCCTCCATCCCACGACTCCATTCCATTCAAATTTATGATTGTTTGCATTACGCGCTTAATGTCCTTTGATTTACATTAGTTTGTGCAGCAGAAGAAAAAATTGAATTTGCAGCGCTTTGTCCTGAAAATTAAGCAAAATGGGGAAGAAAAACCGAAAACGTGCCCAAGGAGCAGACGCAATATGCAAATAATCTGCAAATTTATAGGCTTTCCTTGGACTCCTTGCGCGGGGGCTACAGCTGCGACCCGGCATTAAGTCCCTGAGTGGCATGCGGATAAGCCAGGTTATTATCTTTTATGAACTGAACTTCCTTCGGATTGCTGTGATGCTGAGGCGGCCACCGGATGATTGATGCATGTGCAGAGATGTCACAGGGAACAACATGAGACCGCAAACTTGACATTTCTCGCATAAAGCGGGCAAAAAAAAAGAAATCAAAGAGAAGGCAAATCCAACTCCGCTGGCGGGGAAGGTTTGCATGCATGTTCTTTGGGAAAATCCATTAAAACACTTGAGCCCGGCAGACGCGACGCAATGCTCTCCAAACAAGGAAAACCAGAATGCATTTCCGTTAATAGTGAAGGCGGCTTTGAAGGCTGCCAGCCACACTTAGACGCAGCACTTGGGGTTACCCTTAAACCTTCGGGACTGCTCACCCGCCTCCCGCGCCCTCGAAGGACATAAAATGTTATTGATATTGCAATTTTTAGCATTTTGTAATTGAGGCGAAAGTTGGTGCCTATCGCAGGCACATCAATTGTCTGCCAGATAACAGCCCGAGCGGATAACTGTCTAAATGCCACTTGAGCATGTGTTTAAACATGCCAAGCACTTGGCTCACTCGAACTATGCAACAAGCAGCAGCAGCAGCAGCAACACAAGGAGCCCCGCAGCAACACCAACAGCACAGCAGCAACATCTCCTCCACACGGGTTGACACTCGCCGGCATCAAAGTTCATGGCTGTCCTGGCGGCTGGGGAAGTCCTCCTGTCGATGCGCTGATAAGTCCTTGGCCCCCAATGCCCCCCCTCCAACATGTGGGCATCCCTATCCCTACGAACGCATCTTGTCTCGTCTCGAGAACGAAGGCGAGTGCCAATGTTGCCAATGTTGTTGGGTAAACTCATAATTGGAATTAATTATGCATTCGCACTTTGCGGCCAACTTTTCAAGTGGCTGGAGTGGTTAGCTGGAGTCAGTTGGCTGGGCTAAGGGGCTGCTCCTTTAATTGTCCAAGTGAGCAGGATGAAGATACCGAAACGGGGACAGGATCCAGATCCAAGGAACTTGCGGCTGACGGCAAGGGTTAAGTGCAAATTGCAGTTATCGTAAGTATTGCTTGTGCATAGTTTAGACTAAGCATTGTCCTTGGTTGAGAGGATGTTCTCAGTTGCAAGTTGTTGTGGAAACGTTTATATTAAATCTTTATATAATCAAAAAATCTATTTTAAATTATTATTATTAATCTCTAGTCGTATTACTTTACATTCTTATGCACTTCGAATGAGCATGACCCGTTTATCCCTAATATATCTAAAAACCTATATTAAATTATTAAGGATATTTATTAAAAATATTATAGTTTCCTCTAAGCATATTAATTCTCCAATCGTATGACTACATTTTTATAAATTTTAGTAGGCAAGACTCTGTTTTACTTTCCGCTTGAAACCACTTACCCGTTCATCCCATAATATATGCTCCCAATTAAGTTCGCAATGACACTCCAACAATAGACCTCACCTGGACCTGGTTTGCATTTGAAAGGCAAGCGACTCGGGGAACATCCCCATTTAGCAATTCTCGGCTGGCAGCCATTCTAATTTAAGTTAGCCCATTTATCTTATGGCTTTCCTCTTTGTGCGCACTTTTTCTGTTTGCCACCACCGCCTCCTCTCCTAATATCCCGCCTTAAGCAGTCCAATTTGTTGCTCCTTTATGGCTACTTATATTCCATGTCCTGCCCACACCTGAGTCCAATAATTACTGTGTGCTCTCCTTCGCATTGTCCCAGCGTTTGCACTGCGGATTTGGCCTTCTCTTGTGCCCATTTGAGGCGAAATGAATGCATAAAGGCCCGGCCAAGATGTTGGGAATTAATTAAAATTTGACAGCTAATAAAACGCAATCACAGCTATGAGGGAGCGATCTCACAATGGCCATTTAAGTTGCGAATTGCGGACAATTGCACGCTTCATTTCGCCTGTTCGCCTGTTTTGACAAGCCATCGGAATCGAGTCACAAAAGACAGCCACAGAGACCCGCAGAAAAATGACAAAAGGCTGTCGCAAATCGCAAGTCCTGCATCGCAAGTTCCGGCGAGTTTCGCGCACTTTAAAAAACGAGAGGAACATCTTTTATTTTAGGGGACAGGAAAATACAATTAGGAGATGAAGTACTGAAAGAAGGATGCTTAAGTAGGGATAATACCAAATTAGTTTGGGGAGAGCTGAGGATAAGAAAGCCTTAGATCATTTTTGGGCTTTAAGTTAGGTTTTAAAAAATGGTATACCTTATTCAAATTTGTTTTATATATTTATTTTAAGTTCAGGTTTTCCATCCTATGCTCTGATTTTTAATAATTTATTTTGAAATTTCCAAATACTATTCAGACGTTTTTTTGCGTGTCCCCAAAGTCGGCGGACAGCAAACGGCTGGAAACGTACCGACATGAAGGGACTTTCTGGGCCTGGTCGCGTGTCATGAGCAAACAAGATAATGTTACAGCAGTCATCGCAAATCGGGCGCGGAAAGAGGTCCAAAAGGGCCATGAGCACTGTGCGGACACTCGGATGGAATTCGGTTTTGTCAGTTTGTTTTCGCCCCAACCCTCGCGGCGATTTGTACGAAAAATGCAAATGAAAACGTCTCAGCTTACGTTAAGTCCTCGTTCCAGCAATCTGGATGTGGATGGGGATGTGGACTGGATGCCGAAACTGAGACGGAGAGCTAGAGATGGAGCTTAATGAAAATGCTGCCACAGGCTGCCAAGTGGCTGGTGTCCTGCACTGGTCCTGGTCCTCGTAGGCTGGGAAATGATTGATCGCCGGGCATCAATTTCCCAGAAATGTTATTGCCATGCATTCGACAGTTGGTCGATTGCTGGTCGGTCACCAAGTGCTTTAATTATGCCTTAAAGCTGTATCTTCACACGGGTTAAGTTATTATATGTAGTGGAAGCTGGTTGGCGACACGTAAGAATTCAACTTTTATGTAATTTCATATTAATAATGTAATATATATGGAAATAAAATATGAGTACTATCTTAAAAAAATTAAAAAACAATACAAACAACATATTAAAATTAAATCATATACACTCAGAGTTCAAACCTTCGGAGAAATATATTTTTTTCAAAAAACTGCTGTGCCTTTTTATTTTATTTGTATCAAATACCACTTTACAAAAATCGTAAATATAATGGTATTACTTTTTGTGGACTTTTTTGTGAATGTAGTGAAAATTGCAACTAAACCTCAAGCTTTCATGGAGATTAAAAGCATTCTTATTTCAATGATCTTCTGTAAGCGTACCCGATCTTCGGCCCATCAGCGTTCGGCCGCTTTAGCGTTTTCATTTATGAAAATGTCGGAAACATGTTTCGCTTGCGCAAACAGAATGCGAGTGCGGGTATGCAATAAAATTCCATTACAGCAATGGCTCGACTTAAAAACTTGGCCGAAAAAAGAAGGCAAGATGAAATTTCGTTGCATAAGCCCGAAGCAGGAGCAGGGGGGCGGAAATGGAGCAGGAGCACCCAGCAAGTGTATTAAAAGCCCGCAGACATTTTCCCTTTACGTGAGTGCATCGCATGAGCTTGGCCGTGTTTGAGGGTGTGCTTGTGTGTGTGTGTGTGTTGCAAAAGTCCTTGCATATTTTATGAAACTTGGCAAAGCATTTAACAACACAGGCACACCCACAGACAGAGCCAAACTCATTACTTGAATTTATTTAGCACTTAAACCAAATGTTTCATTCGCCTCAGCCGGCTGATTTGGTGCTCATATCCGTGCATTTCCGCAGTTTGGTTGCCACTCGAGGGCAGCTTCATGTCTTCCGTCTAAGGATCAAAACTTCTGGTCTTCTTGAGGATGCCACAGGGTGAGCAGAAGGCCGGACACTCCGGCGGAGTTCGCATAGTATCCTTAATCCGCTTTAGGTGTTCGGCTTTCTGCGAGTAAAATGGTAACTGGGAACAGGGATGCCCCTTTCCATGGACGTAGCCACAGCGAGTGCAAAGATCTGCGAGGGCGTTGACCAGCAGCTCGTTTTTGGCACAGGCCTGTATTGATCCGCTGGACAGGATCTGGCTGCTGGATGAGGAAGACACTGAGAACGGAGGAGTGGGTCCCGGCACAGGCACTTTGACCCCACATCTGGGACACTTCTCAAGGACCATCGAATCGCCGATTTCACCCTCCCGGCACTCGCATCCCAAACATTCCGATGATTCGGAAATCCTCTGCAGGCGACAAGTTTTCCGCGGTGCGTAGTAAAGCTGCTCAATGGGCCTTAGGTTTCGATGCCTCTTTCTCGCCGTAAAGGTTGTGGACTTCTCTGTTGGTCGTCTGATTTGTGTGGCAGACAACTTTGTCCCTAGCTTTCCCTCCATCTTCTTGTGGACCATCTCCGCATTCATTTTCTTCCGTTCCATGGCCTGGAAAAAAGTACAACTTTTTTTTCATTTTCTTTTATTCTAGCCTTACCTATTATTTTTAAAAATTGTATTATTGTTTTAATTTTTTTCCAAAATTATTTAAAGAAAAATGCATATGGATGGATTAACGATCAACAATTTTGTAATACTTGGTTAGTTAAAAGCTTGAGAAATCATGTAAAAGGCAAAAAGTGACATAATTTTTATAATGTTTAGTACCTACCAAATAAAAATATTAAAATATATTTACCCACCTTGAACATCATATTGTGTTCGTGCATCATGTTCTTGATGTTGTGCAAGGAGTACCGCGTCTCAATGTCGCGCATATCCTGCTCCTCGTTGGGCGCCAGGTCCAAGCTGGGGTTGAGACTCACGGACGATCCGTAGGATCCCAAGAAGCGACTGAATGTTTGCCGCTTCCGTTCCTCTCGCTCTAAACGCTCCGCATTCAGCTCCTGATCGATGAGTTTCTTGTACATGGCGCTGTTCATCCTGATATCCTGCGATGGACGCCGGCTGTGGGGCGTGACACTTCTATTCCCCTTCAGTCCTCGGATTCCGAAGGGAATGAGTCGTGTGCTGAGCCGCTGCTTGTTCCACAAGTTCCTCTCCAACAGCCTGTCCACCTGGCTAGCCTGCTTCGCCTTGGCAGGATCGGCTTCCACCACATTGAGTGACGAATCTCGAGGCGGCTCAACCCGGGCAAAGTTCATATCGTTTACAATGCCCTGGAGATTATCCAAATACTTCGTGCTAAGCATTTGCTTAACTTCATTCTGACTGACGCCCGATTCGATCAGCTCACTGTGAAAACTGTGGAGCTTGGCCCACATCTGGTGGTTTCCCACTACCTCCATTAGCCCCTTGACATCGGCCACATACTCTATGATATGGTTATTCTCTATGACGTCCTTGAGGAACCTCTGCATGGGTTTGTATGTATTATCGGATTTAAGATCCCTCAGAGCGAATCTTCCGTGGCTGGGGGTCAAGCGACCCCCAAAGGCAGGTTCATCGGGGGTCTTGTCGGGTCGGTCATAGTTATGCGTTTGATCTCGTATAGGATCGAAGAATTTTTCCAGTTCATCCGGCAGAGACTGATAGTTGAGTTCGTACTTCATTTTATCTTTAGAAGGAGATCTGCTGTTGGTTCCAGATTTCGCCGACATTTCTTCGATTTGAATGTGCGGTTGATCGCCATCGATAGTCTCAGTCCTGTCCGGATTATAATCGCCAATTAAATTCCGATTGGTAGGTCTCGGCTCGTACAGATAGGTTTCGGAATTGCTTTTCGGAAGCAACCTCTTCGACTGTCTCGCACTGCTGAATCCTGGTTCGCTGACCGATGCACGATTGGAGTTCCTTTTGGATCTCCTCTGGCGCGATGCCTCCTCTTCGCTGGGGCGGATGTACATAATGTCCTTTTTGAGCGACTGATAATGGCTTTCGCCCTGACCCCTAGGTGGGGCAACACGAAGCTTTTTGGGCAGTATCAGAGGTCCGCGGAGTGATCTACGGATACTTTTCCGTGGTCGGTTGGACATTATAATTTTATTCAGCGAATCGCTTAGAGATATAACACTGTCTCCGGCGAATTGTAGTGGGGAACCGCTCTTTTCGGTTTTTAGCTTAGGTCGTTGCTGAATCTTGGTCAGCATATAATCTATTCCGGAATCCGAATAACGAAAGGTTGGATCCTTGGTGGCTGGTGCTTTAGATCGATTCTTTCGCTTTCCATTAGTTGTTTGGTCGGAGCTTAGATCAACGACACTCTCTAATTGGGAACCGCTGCTTGCGTCCCGTAGTTTACGTCCCTTTTTGCCTTTTCCGGGATCTGAGCTTGGATAGATCTCTTTGGAGATGGTTGAACTAGATGAACTGCTGTAGTAGCCCTTGGGATGTTGCGTAAACTTCTTTTTCCTCGTTGGCTGCCGCATAAACAAGGGAATATCGCTGAACAGCCTAGAAATTTCACTTTCTGGTTTCCCAAGTGAGTCCTTTGACTTTTTTAATGCCGTCGCTTTATGTCTGCCATGATGGGAAATCTTTTTCCTTGCCTTTTCCTTTAAAAGTGCTTTCAGCTCGTCTTTAATAACCAAATCCACGTACTTTTTCTTATGTTTCGTTATCTTGTTTTTATACTTTCGTAATTTTTTGGACCCTAGTACCTCCGCTTTTAGGATTTTAGGTTCTGGTACAGAAACCCTATCCAGTAACTTCTTCAGTTTTATCGGAGCTACTTGTTTGGCCTTTTTTCGAATTGGTTTCTTAGGAAAAGAGGATTCTGGAAATAATGGAATATCGGGAAAACGCGGAATGGTCCCCACATTAATATTGCGATTTTTGATGACTTTCTTAGAGGTTTCCGTCTTTTGATTATCTTGGTATTTGTCTTTTTTCCTAAAATCAAATTCTATTAGTTCTCTTACCAAAATATTTAGTTCATCGAGCGATGGTTTTGACGGATCTGGTTCCCTTTGCCAGCTAGTTTTTTTTAATTTTCTAAGTTTCTTTACTTTTTTCCGAATGATGAGCTCATCTAAACTGAGATAGATGGGTTTGTGCTTGAATTTCCTTATTTTCCTAATGGACTTTCGGTTATTTTCGGGTGAGGATTCCACCAACTCCGAGTCAAGTATTGGTCCTTCAACGGGTAATCTTGTTTTGACCTTAAGCCTTTTTCGGAGCACCTCATTGTTCCAAAAATTAGCAAAGTCATCTATGTCGTCATCCTGATTAACCCTTTGACGACGTACCTTCTTGGGATGCCTTCCCCGGATGTCTGATAAGTATTTCCGAACTTCTGCGGCCTCTGCCTCCCAGATCTGATCTTGACCCTCGAAAAACTGATGGTAATGCGGACTGTTTTTCCACTTTTTCACCGCCTTGGAGAGTTTATGGAAGCACTTGTCCACCAATTTCTGTGGCTGACGGCGTTTCTTCAGCTGCTTCCTCAATTGATGTAGCCTGCGATGCAGTCTACTCTTCAGCTGCTCCTGATGTCGAATCAAGCGACCCTGCAGCCGCAAAGCTCTTGACCAGTTGCGCAGCCAGCCTTTGTACATGGCCAGCATGCCCCCCACCGCCTTTCGCGCCTGCTCCCGCCTTTCCAGCTTCGCGTCCCGTTGCCGCACGTCTATGGAGTTCCGCATCCTGTCGAGCAGATGGTCCCTGATTCTGCGCATCACCTCCAGGCGACGACGGGCCTTGCGCTTGCGCAGCCGCAACTCCTTGGCCTTCCGCCGGATCTGCTCCTTCAGCACCACCATCTGGGTACTCCGGTGCAGCAGTGGCACCTGCATCTCGAAATGATTGAATTGTATAAAAATATTGGTTTCCCAATGACAAGATTTTAGGGAAATTCAAACTGTCATTAGTGTAAAAAAAATATAGATGTCTAATGAAACTAAACTTATTGATAAGCAACAGCTTATAAATGTTTATAAGGTAAATATAAATCTTTTGCTCTTAAAAATTGAATTTAGGTACTGAAAAAAAAAACAATTTTCAACCTTATCTTTTAACGAACAGTTAAAAAATCACCAGTTACTAAAAAGTAGGGGGTTTTTTTGGCGGCCCCCTTATCAGAAAATGTAAACCACCTGGTCGGTAGGGGAATCCAATGCAAAACGCAGCTCAGCTTACTGATAAGGCAGCACAAAGCCCCCAAGTAGATCTCGGTAATTCACAGGCGATTTCAACGGGAAGCACCGTCCAGAGATCTGTTGCTATATAACGAACGGCGAACAGATATCAGCATCGACATTCAACCATCAACAGCCAAATCAACAAGATCGACAAGCAATTAATAAATCGAAATGAGCAAAATCGTTTCTTTGATCGTGGTAGCCATTTGTGTGCTTGGAGCTTTAGCCGCAGCAATGCCTCAGCGTCCGCTGACCCAACCGCTGATCTACTATCCACCGCCACCACCGCCACCAAGGATCTACAGAGCAAGGCGTCAGGTGTTGGGTGGCTCACTGGCCTCCAATCCGAATGGCGGAGCTGATGCCCGATTGGATTTGACCAAGGCCATTGGCACTCCGGAGCACCATGTGGCTGGACAGGTATTCGCAGCGGGAAATACTCAAACCCAACCGATTTCCACTCCCGTGACCAGTGGCGCCACCTTGTCCTACAACAAGTGAGTACTACGAGATATATCTTAACCCATTCCAACTAATCGTACTCTCCTCGACTCTCCAGTCATGGCCACGGCATCGATCTAACCAAAACCCATACGCCCGGGGTGCGAGACAGCTTCCAGCAGACGGCCACGGCCAATTTGTTCAACAATGGAGTCCACAATCTGGATGCCAAGGCCTTCGCCTCGCAAAACCAATTGGCCAATGGCTTCAAGTTCGATAGGAACGGCGCTGCCCTGGACTACGCGCACATCAATGGCCATGGAGCCACTCTGACGCACTCCAATATTCCCGGCTTTGGCAAGCAACTGGAACTGGCCGGAAGAGCCAATCTCTGGCAGTCGCAGGATCGCAACACGAGACTCGATCTGGGCAGCACGGCCTCCAAGTGGACGAGTGGACCCTTGAGGGGACAGAGCGATCTGGGCGCCAACCTGGGCATCTCCCACTACTTTGGTTAAGGTTAAAGGCTCCTCGAAATTATTCAAAGCTGCATATATTTATTTTATAACCTGTTTCCAAAATTATTTTAGTGTTATAAATGGTTAACACAAAGGAAATTAATAAAGAAAATATAAAAAACATTTAGATCGTTTTAAAAAAATTTCAAGAACATTTAAAATGCCTTAAACTTTAAGTACAAAAGTGAGTTAAATTAACCAAAGCGAATTTTTATTTGAAATAAACACAACTACGGAGTGAAATCAAGTAAACAACAATAGATACAAAAGCCGTTAAAAATTCTGTAAATTAAATACCCACAAAAGCCCTGGCCTGCTGTTCGCCCGCCTCCTTGAAAAGCTCCGCAGTCTTCAGGAGTTTTATGAAGCGCGGCGAGTACTCGCTGGACATGCGCTTCTCGAGTCCTTCATCCAGGCTCGTCTGCTTGAGGACCTCTTGCAAGCGGGCATTCCGCTGATGACGCTCCGCCGAATCGGCCATCTTCCTGAGGTAAACCAGATCCAAGAGCAGCTCGTCGCGCACTCCAACAGCCGCCTGTTGGTCCTCCATGGGCAGATCCTCGTACTGACGCAACAGCTTCTTGACGATCCGGGACTTTTGGTTGATCTTACTCGGATCGAGCAGGCGCACATCCTGGCTAAAATCCTCGGCCAGGACGCGCAGAGAGCTCTGCCTCTTTTCGCGACACTTCTGCTCCTCGCTGGATGTCTTCAGGATCAGGTCATAGAACTCCTGCAGATCAGGACGCAGTGGAATGCAGGCTCGTCTGCGCACCTGTTGGTCAATTATATTGCTAATGGCCTCCATCGTGTCGCGCACCATGGTCTCGGTGTGATAGAGATAATTCTCGGTCTTGTCGTTGCGAATCTGGTAGAAGTTCTTGGGCTGCTGATGCGCACACTTGCGATTCCTCTCCAGAACGGCCAGCAGGCGATCCATGCCGGGATCATTGCCCACCGCCTCGAAAACGGCTGACACAATGTCCTCGGACATCTTGCCCGTGATCAGTTTGTCGTAACTATCCGATCGGGACTCGGGTGTATCTATCCGGGGTCGGTGGCTTAGAGAAAGATTACATAAGTCGGGAAATATGTACCAAAACATAATACCAATACTCACCATTTTCCAGCAATTTTGAATGGTTCGTTTGAGTCTACCTTAGTAACTTCTTTGGGCGCTATATTCGAAGTTACTTTTGGCTTAACTTTTTCTGCTTGCTGGGCAGTCGTTTTCGACTGGTTCTTTCTGGTCCACTTAATGCTAGGCCTTTTCAAATGACCCTCCTGCTTCTTTGTCTTCTCATCCTCACGATTATCCTTGGACTCTTCCCCCACCTCGCGAATACGTCTTTCGTCCCTGGCCTTAGGATCATCCGGGTTATGAAGTTGAACATCCTGGATATCGGAATTGGATGCTGGACGGAATCTTTGATAGGCAGGCAGCAGACTAATAGATCCATTGCCGTAGAACTGTTTGGTTTTTGGGTCCCCGCACACATTGGCATTGATGGAGACGTTGAGTTTCATGGCATCCGGGGCATTGCAAACATTCTCCGTGTGACTGGGGGCAGGTGGGGCTGATGTGGTTGCCACTGGATTGGAAGATCCCGTCGAAGTTGTGCAGTTCGGAGGCAAGGTCGCAGCTGTAGATACATTTCCAGCCGGGGGAGTGACTTGGGTGTTAGTTATGGACACACATCTGGGATCTATGGTCGTCGAGGTTGCCATCACGGCTAAGTAAGGATCGTTCTTTAGTTGCTTGTTGAAGAAGGGTCCGAAGTACCGATGGACACCAAAGGATTTTATCGGTGGCGACACCGGCTTGATGGGCAATTGCTGGTTAACTCGTTGCATGGGCAATTGCTGTTGCGGCATTTGCAGTGTCTGCTGCAATGGCTGCTGTTGCGGCATGTATTGCTGTTGTACCGGCAATGGTTGCTGCTGTTGCTGCTGCTGCTGCGGTGTTTTTATATTCTGCAGCTTTTGCAACTCATTAAAGAAGTGAGTTAAATTGAAGCTAGCCTGGAAATTGCTGGATGACTGGTGACGCTGACGATTAAGGTCTTGTTGTGGCTGCTGTTGATTTTGCTCCAGTTGCTGGGCTGCTTGAAGTGGCGGCGATTGCTGCTGTTGCATCTGTTGCTGCTGTGGAAATAGCACTTGCTGCTGTTGTCGCTGATTTATCATGGGCACCACTTCCTTGGTGGGATCGTAGATATTTGCCAGCGAATCCAGATCCTCAAAGTGTGCCAGTGATTCATGCATGCCATTACCCAAGTTCCCGAAAGCAACACGATTGCCATTGTGGTCTTCGAAATCGTCTAGCAGATGGACCAAGCGTTTGGCCACCACATGTTGATCACCCTGTGACCTCTGATCTTCTTCTGGCTGCTTCTGCAAATCCTTTTCATTATCCTCCAACGATCTTTTGGCTCTGTGGTTCTGCCTGCGAAGTCTGCGAAGCCTTGTTTGCCTTTTTCCGCGCTCCTTGTCCAGGGACAACTCATTGGCCAGCAACTTGACCACCGCATCGGGATTTACCTTTGGAACAGATGCCGCCGCAGCTGCCTCCTTGGGCTCCAGCTTATCGCAGTCCTCGCACTCCGGCTTCTCCTCCGCCGGCTCCTGAAGCTTCAACTTTATGTTGACCTTGACAATGCCGTCATCTTCTGTCTTTTCCACATCCTCTGATTTGCACTCCGCATCGCAATCGGCGCTGCTATCATGATTGTCTGGGTTATCGGGTGTTTCGGGACTATCACGTTTCTCCAGGGTATCATGAGCTTTGAAGCTAGGAGCCATTTCAGCGTCGACCTTTGAATGGAGTTCACTGGTGTCCAAAGTGAGAGGCAACTCCCTTTTTGAAGGCGACTCTGGCTTTAATTTAGGCTCCATAGCAGATGTAGTGTCGTCTTTTAGTGAGGCCTCCATTTTAATGGAAGGCTTAATCTCCCTCTTAACTGGCCCCAAAACCTTAGACTCCACTTCAGCCTCAGATTTATCTCCCAAGCCTCCTTCCATGGACGATACCCCAGGATCAAGCTTATCTTCCGGTTTAACCAAAGCATCCTCCTCCAGTTTGACTTCGTCGTGCAAGTCCTCCAATTTATTCTCGTCGTCGGAGTCCTTCTCCTTGGCTTCATGCTCTCCGACGGAATGTATGGCATTGCCTTCCTTGATGTCCAATATCCCCAGCTTTACGGCCATCTCGTGGTCGGAAATGTTCTGATCCTCAGTCTTCAAAGGCTCCAAAATAGACTCATCCTGCGGTTCCCTCTTGAAGCGATCCAAATCGAGGGGCATGCGATTGCTCCTCTCGTAATCGCGGACATTGGTCATCTGCCGCTGGCTCAGCGGATGAAAGCGATCGTACTGGGGCACTCGATAGTCGTAACTCTGGGGCAGCTCCATCATGGGATTGGCCTCGATGATGGGATTGCTGGGCTGCTGCAGGTACTCCAAGTTCCCATTTATTCCCATCGGCATATCCTCTTCATCGGTACCCTGACTCGATTCGAACTTCTGCTGCTGCTGCTGTTGGTCCTCCAGTTCCCTCCGCCGCAGCATGTTGTCCACCATCTGGTTGCGATGGATGTCCATCAGGGCGTTGCTGGGCAGCGAGGGACCCAGGCCCTTGAGCATCAGCCGACTGCTGGTCTTGAGCTTTATTTCGTTCATGGGATTGAAACCGCTGCACGAGCTGCGTTTGATCGGCCTAAGGGGAGTGCTTTCGGGTCTGGAGTACTTGGTGGCCTTCTCGGAGGCCTCCTGCTCGATCTTGGAGAGCTTGTAGTTGGCCTCGTGGGCCAGCTTATTGGCGGTGGCATGGGGAAAGGCCAGGCGGTTGAGCGTGCTTTCGTAGATCCCATCCGGAATGGGATTATCACCGAACTCGGGTAATTTGTCCACCCAACCCGACTCGTCGACCTTCTTGTGCACATCCTTCGACTTCTCCCGCTTCTTGGCCTCCAGACCCTCCTGATCGCTGAGCATCTGCTGGACCTGCTTCAGCTTGATGTCCAGGTGGGTGAGTCCACCGTCCTGCGGACGCTCGGGAGGCTTAGTCACCTGGTACTTGCGAACGATCGTGTCATCGGGCATCTCCTTGTACTTCAGCTTTACCTTGCCCATTTCGGTGCGTTCCAGGGCCTTGGTATGCTGGTCGATCACATTCTTGGCCACCGATCGCTCCTGTTTGCCGCCGCCAGATCGCTTCTGGTTGGCACTGCCCCTGGACATGCTGGCCTGGATGTCGCGGAACCAAGCATCTGCCGCCTCCTGCAGCACACGCTCCTCATCCGCGGAGGTCGCCTTGGATTCGCCGTCTTGGACCTGGGCAAAGTTGGCCAGCATGTCATCGATGGAGTTGCGCCGGTCCCGCGGTTGCAGCTTCTGGTTATCCTGTTCCTGCAGACCGCCGTAGGAAGCCTTCAGCTCCTGCAACTCGGGACGAGCCTGCTCCACCGCCCGGCTGAAGCTGAGCAACTTGTCGCTGCCCTCCACTGGGGGCTTTTCCTCTGCGTTCTGCATCTGCTGCGAGGATCCCGAGCCACTGAACACCATCAGTGCCCACCAGAGTTGTAGGAAGATCATCCTGTAAGGCAGCTAGGTTTCTTTTAAAAGAATAAATCGAATAGAGATTGTAATAGCAGACTGGACTAAAAGCAAATACTTCGGCCTGCTATGTAAGCATGAAAGGCTAGCTAGGATTTCAAAAATTCTGATATACCTAGTATTTGATAATAAACAAGAAAGGAAGCTACCTTCGGCCAGGGACCGAAACATAATAACCTTGTAGATAAAAATGCTCACTCAACGTGCTGAAACTGCAGGTATTACCTTTTTTTTTTTTTTTTTTTTTTTTTTTTTTTTTTTTTTTTTTTTTTTAAATTTTTTTTTTTTTTTTTTTTTTTTTTTTTTTTTTTTTTTTTTTTTTTTTTTTTTTTTTTTTTTTTTTTTTTTTTTTTTTTTTTTTCTTCCTCCCCTTTTTTTTTTTTTTCTTTTAAAAAAAAATTTTTTTTTTTTTTTTTTTTTTTTTTTTTTTAAAAAAAAAAAAAATTTTTTTTAAAAAAAAAAAAAAAAAAAAAAAAAAAAAAAAAAAAAAGGTTGTTTTTTTTTTTTTTTTTTTTTTTTTTTTTAAATTTTTTTTTTTTTTTTTTTAATCCCTTCCCCCTTCAAACATCTACAAGGGTATAAAAATTTTATACACTCTACTAAATAAGTATACTTTCTATAGATACATGTTGACTTTAAGTTTTATTGTTGGGCATTTTAGGGATGGAAAGGCTGACCACAATCGTCTCGATCTCAATTGGTTTTCGGGACTGGGAGACGGGTCTTCCACGCGTTGGCTGCTGGCAACAGGTGTCTGCCGCACAACTTTGACAACGAGGCCCGATAAGAGTTGCAATGTCACCAGTCTGCCCATTGCCTCCCTTCCTTCCTTCCACCCTGCAACACGCATCTTTCCGCCCAGAGGGAACTGCTACATTGTGTCAAGTTTTTGCACACGTACGACGACTGCGCCGGCGGCTTCCGACAGCTGTTCAACATGAGATGTCCTTTGTTGCCCACCCACACAGTAGTAAGGCTCGTGGGTAAACGATACTGCCGCCTCCAAACCTCCCAACTCCCAACGAGAGTATTGTTTCCTCGCCCATGTAAATCAGATTTTTGTTTTATACCAAAACTTTTGCCAATGGAAGTGGAAATGGAAATGGAATGGGATGCGCAGCGACAATAACATTTCCTATTTCCTTCTGTCGCTGCGAGTGTGTGTTATCCTGCACGTTGTCAATGCCAAAGTCAGCACAATGCGCCGCTCGAAATAATTGAAAATAATCAAACATTCAGTGGGAGCAACTGCAGCAGCCAGGAGCAACCAGGAGCAACAGCAACAGGAGCAGCAGCCACATCAGCAGGCAGAACTAATGTAATTAGCGGGCACAGAGCGCATTTGCGCGTTTGATTAAAAGTTTTCCCATCCACCACTCACTTGATAATCCTCCGAACAATGCAATGAAGCAGGCAATATGAATAAACGCATTGTGAGTTGTTTAGTTTGTACTATTATTGTTTTGGGGGAATGGGCGGTGTGTATTCTACTGACATCGCCCGATGATGGTAGAAACAAAGTAGATCGTGTTTTTTAATTACATCATATGAGGGAGCTATAGTGTTGCTTTTGGATGGCAGAGTTCATTGTTTAGATCTAGACAATACTCGGTTAACTTCGTTTGAAGTTTAGTTTTGGGTATAGGTCCTTCAAGTAATACAGTTTCCAAAGATTTATTGTTGAAAGGCTCAGTAAAATTAACTTTGGAAACTTTGGAAAGTTTCCTATAATGATTCCATTAATAAGTTAATAAAAAAACAGAATTCGATTAGACTGATTAAAATTACAAATTAAAAATTTTAAAAAAGTTGAATTTGAAGGTTAATTTATTATTTTATTACATGGAAAGTAAGGGACATTATAAGCAAAGTTACAATTATTACAGCAAAATCACCCCTTTTCTCTACATTATGCATGCAAGCGACCCCTCAAAACTCTCAACTTGTACATGAAATCCCCTCACTTGATTTTCAGCCCAAAAAAATAACAGGCCTCCAAAACGCTCAATATTGACAAATTGCGGCAAATTCCCTCCACAGATTAGCCGATAGTTCGCCGCCAAAGAATGTCGGATTAATCTCACGCAAAATGCGTCAGGCGCCGCTGGCCAATAAACAATATAGCGATAATTTTGCGGCATGTAATTAAATTACTTAGCCAGTTGCAGTGACAGGACACGCAGGACGCAGGACGCAGTGGCGCGATATGCGAACGGACAAATCCTTTCAACAGGCCCGCGAAGTACCGATGCGGCTGAGCCCGGGGACATATTTCCATAAAGCCACCGCAGCCACCGCTGTCAATATGCGGATTAACGCATCAATTACACGGGCGCAGGACGAAGGACGTTTCAGGGGCGGAAAGGGGGGCAAAAGGACGTGAGCCGGCCATGGATATACATGCATTTATATGCCCGCGAATGCCCGCGGGGGAGGCTAGCTGTTGCTTGCAGCGACAAAAATTTCATTTCGCCCGGGTAATTTAATTAATTGCAGAATTTCACAATTTCACAATCATGCCGAGCCCGGCTGGTAAAAACAATTTGAATTCCGCTCCAACTGCCGCGGCCCCCCGGTAATCGTCATAATCCCCCGATTCTAGTCATCGCCGTTCGCATTTATGATGTGCACGAAGTGCAAAACTCAACCATTGCCCACTTCCCGGACACTGGGCAACTAAATTAATTCGATAATTGACTGCCATTGCCTCGCCCGGAACCATTGTCATCCCTTCCGGAACTCCAGCTCCTTCTCCGCATCCTCCTCCTCCGGAATCTGGAATCCGTGACCATGAACCGTTGCCTCCCCAACTTTTTTATGGGCGGCGCACACCGAAAAACATAAAAACGTCTGTTGCGTGTTGCATATGGAAAATTGCCAAAAGTCCTAGCGCAAAGGAGAAAAAACTGCGAGCCCAAGGAAAGAAGTCGCAAAGCGAAAGGAAATGTTGCCAAGCAGTAAAGGCCAGGCTAATGGCAATGCCATGACAGCCGGAAGAGACGGACAAGAAAACATGTTCGGGCCAAAATCAAGGAGCAAGGAGCAAGGATCAGGGAGCAAGGAGCCAGGAGTCCGGTCAGGAAGTTTTTATAGTTGTGCAAGTGCATGTGATTGCTTTATGAGCTCCAGATGAAGTTGCCGGCACGTCCGCGGCCCGCCTGTCATTTAGTTAATTATAAGCAATTAGCAGCGGATGTTGCCAATGGGGAATTAAATATTAAGCGCCTAACTGCATCTATTGCAAATTATCGGACACGAGCGGAACATTACGCAAAATGGTTTACTAGCTACTTTTAAAAGGTTCACTATAGGTGCCATAAAAAGGATATCCAGGGTATTCTGAAGGCTTTTTCATTTGCTCATAAAACGTTTTTAAATACTTTAAAATATTACTGATATACTGATATAAACGGAATCTTAGAAATATTAAATATTCGTAAATAATACATTGCTTTACTTATTTTATTATTTCAAATGTAAAAAAGTTGTAGCCCTTCTTTGATTACCAACAAAGCCTTAAAGTTAAGATCAAATGAATTTGGTTCTTAGCAACGTATACACTGCTAACCAAACCTGTAATTAAAGTTCAACAATCTGCGAACTGCGTAAAAGTTAAAGTAAGGAAAACAATCTCTCAGACGTCAGTTCCTCTTTCTGATTCCTCGGCAGAGGCGGCTGCCTGGTAATAAAATAAACCATTTTACTATTGTTGACTCATTTGAGAATTGTCTGTCTGCCTGCGTATGGGAATCGGCCAAAAGGAGTGCAACTTGATTCCGAGGCAACGGTAAAGATAAAGGTAGAGCCAAAGGTAAACGTAGGAAAGAAAGCAAGAGTCAGTGTCGGTGGCATTAATTTGTGCCTAGAGCGAACGGAGGGTTCTCAGCGAGCCTCCGGGCCACGCGTAAGCAGATGAAGACAGTGTTGATGATGATGCCAGGATGCTCCGGCAACCAGAAACCCACCATCACCATCCAGCTACCAACAGCAGCAGCATTTGTGGCCATGATAAAAGTTGCATGAGCTTGCACTGGGTATTTTATGCTGCTTTCCGCCGCCTGTTGCCTTTCTACTTGTGCACTTTAAAAAAAAACTTTTAATTAAAAAAAATATAAACATTATAAATTATTTCCCTTGTATTCTAAAATATATACATCTTACAATTGGTTAGGAACTATTTTATAACATCCGTAAAAACTCTAGGTCATGAACTTAATTTGCAAATAGAAGCATATTATTTTAAAATTGGTCAACAGAGGAAAGGGTATCTGATAGTTGAGGCACTCGTCTTCTAAAATGGTATCAAAGATCTTAACTTATAAAAAGTTTATGGAAATTATATTTAAATTGTTAATTGTTCATCTCAAAATCTCTTTACCAGGTGATTAATACCATTTTTAAATCGAATGCATCCCGATCCTGTTTTGTTGTCTGTAGAGATTTTTCGAAAGAGGAGAAAGGTGCGAGAGCTTCGGTCTTCGGCCAGTCAGACGCGTTCCCAAGTTGCAGTCAAATTTTCATTTTTCCACTCACGTATTTCGATTAAATTCTCATTTTGGTCATAATTTTCCAGTTTTTACGTTGGCCTCGGCATTAAATTGCAACTCGGCTCTCTGGGACGGATGTGCGCCCCCATTTCCCCAGCCTGGAATCCCCTTCTCAGCCTCAGTTTCTTCGCCAGTTGGTTTGCTTCTTTATGTGCGTTGCGTATCGAAGGCATCAAGTTCTCTGTCGGCGAATACATTTAGAAAATTAAAAGTTTTCCAGGCCCTACGAGCTACAAAACTACGAAAGTATCTGCAATTGTTTGTGCGCTTTCTCTCCCTCTCTTTCTCCCTTCCATAAATCAATTTGCAACGCGCAAGTTTTATTACGGCTGCATAAATCCGTTAACAAAGCCCCGGCCACCTGATGCCAGATTTCTATATGTGCGCTCGGCTAATTTTGCGGCACGCACACTTGGCTTATTCCCAATGAGCATTGAACGATGTTGGTTGGCAGTACAACTATACAGATATGCCAATATACCGATACATCGCAGCGACAGTTGGCTTAGTCGAACAAAAAAACTTTTTGCGCGTAATAAATTGATAAATAGTCCAACGCATATATGTGTGTCCCAAAAGGGGATTGGATTGCAGGGGTAGGAAGTGCATCTCTGTGCAGCTGCCAAGTGTGCAACAGTTTTCCATTGTCATATATGTGGCATACTCCTGGGCTGGAAAAGTTGATTTGCTGATTCAATGAATCTAAAAAAACGTAAAAACTATTTTTAAATCGAGTTTGGGTAATAGTGTAGGGTATAATTTTAAAATGGCTATTCAAAAACTAAGTTACTTAATTTACAAACTTTTAAGAAATTTTTATAATAAAGGCTAAGAATCTGGCAAAACAAGAATGCAATATTTTAACTAAAATTAATCTTCATCTGAATTTTAAGAAAATAATCTTTACCAGTGCCAATATATTAGGAATAAATATAAATAAATTATCAACAAATAGATATTATATGTTTTATTTATGCCTATATTTCTATATCTTTTTTTCTTTGCCGAGCAAGCAAAGCTTTTCCCCAAATATCTTCAGTACAATGTACTGTATGTAATGGATCTTCGTAATCCCAGCCAAAGACGTTTTTATCAAACAGCGTAGTCAATCATAAGTAAACATTTCAATCCCCACTTCTCGAAGGCTCCACAATTTCAGCATAATTCACGCGAATCCATCCGTCTGTTGTTTTTCGATTATGTCGCATTGTCTTGGCTTAAAGTTTTTCGGGCCCAACGGCCAGCTTGTTGTCGCTGGGAAACTGAACTGAACTGAACTGGCCAGCAACTTGGGATGTTGCCTGGGAATATTACAGCGATTCCTACTTATGCCTCAATTCGTTTGCCTTGTCACGGCGAGTGCTCAAAGGAGGAGTTGAGTTCGAGGATGGTTGGATTGTCGGACTGCTGGACTGCTGGATGGTTGGGAGTGCCATCCGAGCGACATGACAAAGGGGCGAAAAAAGGACACCCGGCGCATCCTTGGACCCGTGCATCACAAAACATGACATGGCACGAGCCATTCCGTTTGTTTTTTCTATTCCCATTTTACAGCCCGTCCGTCCGTTGGCCAAACAAATTTTTCTCTGTTCTTCGCTGCGATCCCTGAGTAAAATATTATGTTACCCAGCGACAAAGAAAGCGGAAACTTTGCTCTCGGCTAAAACCAAATGAAAGGGCCGCCAAAAACATATTTAAATGCAATTTCTGTAAGCAAATTTCCCGATTATGCATATGCAACAAACCGCACACAGCACAAGTACAAGCAATTCATTAAGCGAACGCAATAAATGTGGCAAATGGAAAATAGAAAATGGAAAATTACTGACAAAACACTGGCCGACAGTTTACGAGCCGCAGACACTGAACGTCGAATGGCAGGAGCATATTTACAACTTTCAAATGCTTCATTTTATTGGTCTCGAAATGAACAAATGGCGCACAGGACCAGGACGGGCCACATAGACATCCTCCGGTGGCTGGGAAAAAATTTTGCATAATTTATGTGGGTGCCGCCGCGCACACGAAGGACTCGGAGGATTCGAAGGATTCGAAAGGAAAACAACGCACGAGCACACGGCCAACTGATTTAAATGCAATTGCACTGAAGTATGTTGTCGGCAGCAAAGGAGCAAGTGGGTGGTGGTGGGTGGACCGGGGGATATAGAGACATCTGCACGTGCAACCGGAAACATCCGGAGACCAGGCCTTCGCCGGGCAATTTCTTTTCATTTGCCAAGGTGTTGAGTTGCACCGACACCAATGTGGCCAAAAGCCAGGAGATGCTAACCCCGCTTTGCCGCAATGGCTCGGTCACAAGTGTCGTCTATTTGTCGCCGGTTTGGGGCACACCAGCGAATCCTGGCCATCCTTGCCATCCTGGGCGTCCCCGGCTGGCCAAGACAAACAACCGACAAATTTAGTGTATTTTGTGCATTTTTAAAATTGTCCAAATTTATGTGACACGCTGCGCCAATTGATCAGATTAAATAAACATGAGGGCAACGAATCGAATTTGACTGTGGCCGAAGACAATGCATGCGACAGTCTGTATTGGAATGGGTGGCACATCTGCACTGGGGAAATGGGAAATGCTAGCACAGTGGCCACTAACTAAGGCTGACTATCGGGAAGGTCTGGTTCAAAATAGTGTTCAGAGCCTAGCATAAACGGTACAAAAAATGAAAATTAAAAAAATAGGTACCCATTTTTATATATGTACCTTCAGAATAAACTTAGCTATTTACATAAGCCTTGAAAAATACATACCTAAATATCTAGTTATTTAGTCCAATAAAAACCACCAATACACCGGGCAAAAGGCTTTATTATTATTAGATATGCAAGTAGCAAATCATTTTCTCAAAAAAGTATAGATACAATAAAAGTTTTTTTAATAAAAAGTAAAGTCCTGCTTAATTTAATAGTAAAAGTAATAACATTAATAAAAATTAGTATTGCATTATTTGTATTATTTTCATCTTAAAATTTTGTTTGAAAATTGTTTAGCCTCTTTTCTTTGATCTCTGATCTCCTGAAATTTCTTCTTTTCTAAACCTACAAGTCAGTTGCACTATGTCAATATTTACCGTACTTGTAAGCCACTCAAAAACAGTAACACGAGACGAACAGATGAAGGGTACAGTTATGATGTAAATATTTTGTGGCTTAGGAAGTCTGACAACTTGATGAAACTAAAGTTCAGTAACTAAACACATGTCATATTCGTTATTCTTGTCATATTCTAATGCCCACTTCACTTGTAGTAACATCAATGCACGAGAATTAAACTAGGTATTAAAGCTTTTCCGAATAAACGATCATATATTCAATGGAATAGATATACCTATCTATATTATATAGATAGATAGATTATGTAGATGGCTAATGGTCGCCTATTGCTGTGGGTCAGTGCGGCAATCTTTTGAGAAATTCCCGATCGCACTCCCATGTCAGGTCGGATTGTACGTTTGGGGAAATTCTGAGCGATCGCTGTAAACAAGCTCAGCCAGATGCTAATTTTATACCCATTTGCTAGCTATAAATACGGCAAGTAGCTCGATTGTAGTCAGTTGAAGCTGCGCTTTGGAACTGCTCGAAATGAAAACGTTTGGATTAATTGCTCTTGCTGTCTGTGGGGTTCTTTGCGTTGGTGAGATGCTTCAAATAAAATATTTTTATAGAGAAATAATATAAAATGATATGATTCTCTTAGTTGCGGAACCTCAGAAAACCTACGACGGTCGCGATGGTCCCCATGTCTTTGGAACCCCGGGCAATCAGGTCTATATAAGGGGTCAAAATGAGGGCACCTATAGCGTGCCGGATCGGGGCCAGTTCACAATTCTGCCCCGGATATCTTATAGCTCCCATGAGCTGGGCAACACATTTGTGAACCGCAAGAATGCGGGTGGCCAAGGTAGGGTCAAGGATTTATACAGAATTTTTACAAATGAAAGATTTTAATTACAGAAAAATTTAACATTTTAGCTTCCCACTCGATCAGTGGTCCCAGTCTCTCCGCCCAAAACCCGGGTCCCGCCAGTCAGCAGGGTTCCTATGGAGCACTGGAGCCCAGTCGCAGTCCCAGATAGTCGCATAGACCAGCGCACCGTAGTCGTCGGTAACGGAGGAGTTTTCTTCCAGCGCAACCGCGCAGCCCGCAGTTCCATGTTGGCGCATCGCACTAATTTCGGCAATGGTAACTTATCCGTTAAAAGGTTCCGTCGCGGAATCAACGATCCCTAGGGCTAAAACTTTTGGCGCGGATCAGGCTGGCATCTGGCAGCAGCGTTTCTTAGGAAGCCCCGATCGGAAAATTAACTGGATAGGAACGGAAAGTAATTTAGGAAATAAAGGCTGCCCAGCGTTTAGCTCTCTTATCAGACGTATCCTCATCTAATGAATTGATCTTTGCATACTCTAGATAAATAACACCCTAGACTTTAGATATATAAATATTTTGAGACATTTAAATAGGTACTTAAATTCAATTTAATACTATCCAAAAACTATATCGCTAGACGAACACTATTTTGGATTGCACTTATGACTGCAGTTTGGCAAAATAGGAGTACGCAAACAGATGAAGTAATGTAGATCTATGGAAAAACGAGTGACACGGATAATCGCAAATAAAAGCTCGTTCTATGGGCAGCAAATCTCAATGTTGGTTATTTATTGGGATCATTGAGGTCATAGGCCTCAAGTAGTTCTACAATAGTATAGAATATAGTACTTGCAATTTTATAAGCTCTATAATTTCCAAATTTCAAATGGTCCTCCGTAATATTTGCAGCAGGCGTAGGTGTTGTTCCACGAGTCCTGGAAACCCGCACTATATCAATTCTAGCTGCGACCAAGGGCACGATCGGGATTGTAAGTTCGTGCAGTATGACCAGTAGTGACCGTTCGAAAAAGGGAATTTTACGCTCTTTTAAAATCTACTTGCTATTAGCTTTTATTAGATTTAATATTTTCTTTTATTAGAAACGGTATGCCAATGTCCGTTTAGAACCTCCCTTGTCGAACGCTGTGCGAACGGCCCAATTGTAGCCATTGTCCGATTTGTAAACGATGTAGATTAACCCCGGTATCCAGGAATGACTTCTGGAAGTACCGTCTATAAGGTATCGTTTTTGGAGTTTCGAGCTGGCCGAACCAACCATGCTTATCTGTGGGAGGTTTCATATTAAATAATTTTGGTCCCATCTGTAATCCTATAAACTTATATTGCAAAAATTGAAAATATTTCCGAACATATGATGTTGTACCAAAATATTGGAGTGATGAAATCATACCAAATTTTGTAAGTGGAAAATTGGATATGATAACATATATCAGTTCCATATAAAAAAAATGTTCCGTTAACTGTTTTAATTTGTGTGCTTTAGTAATCCGAGGACTAATACCCTGCTTAACCTGGTTGAAACTGGGTGTGCGCAAGGCTTTTATGTGTGCGAAGGCGCCCTCGTGCCGCGGAGCTGGGGTAAAGGGTTCATGGGCAGCCGGTGGAGCCACCATGGCAAAGAAGGGTTCACCTGAAAATTGGGTGGCATTTCTTAGGAACTCCGCCGCACGATCCCTTAGAAGATCGGTCAGGTAGGTGGACTGGTAGTGCACGTTCCCGGAATTCTCGCGCAGCGTGTAGTTGTAGTAGCGTGAGTTTCCATGAAGCCCGTAGAAGTGATTCCATCCCTTGGGCACATCGCCGGCGCCCCAGTACTGATTCAGGTACTTGCCACCGAAGAAGGTGTTGTAGCCCTGCTGCTGCAGGATGTGCGGCAGGGCGCGGGGCTCCAGGACCCTCCGCCAGTGCGGCCCATAGCATCCACCGCTGACCGAGTTGTTCCTTGTGCCGTGGTTGTGAGCATACATTCCACTCAGCAGACTCGTCCGCGCCGGACAGCAAATGGGCGTGGGCGTGAAGGCGTTGTGGAACAGGGCACCGCCGAAGCCCAGCAGCTGGATCGTCTGCTCCATGGGAAACATGCCGCGCAGCTCCACATCCTGGTCATCGGACAGGATCAACAGGATGTTGGGCAACTTCTCGGTGGCGCCGTGTCGCAGGCACACCCACGCAAGGATTAGCGCGATCAGGGGAGTTGAGCTGATCTGTAGTGATTGGGGATTTATAAGTTTCTCAGGAAATATCAAAATATCACTCACCATGGAGCAAATCCAAGTTTTCTTTTGTTTACCTTAAATGTATGCGATAACAATTGAGCCCGGCTCCAGAGTTCAGGGCTGCAGAAAAAACATCTCACTGATCTTTAAGTGTTGACAACATTAAAAATAATCTGGACATAAGGCTAACTGGCAAATAAATGAAAATTGCAAGAAACTTTAAAAAGTGGAGAAAGAATTTAGGATGGATATTCAAAAATCCATAAAACGTTTCAGCTCCTGGTGCTGCCATATGTTTAAATTTACTTTCAAGTCCTGGAGCTGCCAGAGGTTTTCGGTTCAAGTTGCCAGACCACCCCAAAACAATCAAATTGCCAGTGTGTACACACTGTTATTCAACTGCCAATCGTTAGTTGGCGCCAAACAATATATTCAAACTAGAAAACTAGTAACAAAAAATTTCCCCTTCCCCATTAAAAGCCAGCAATCACGTACGAGAAATATGATTTATTTCCTTTGAATATCAGCGGTTTAGTGACCGAAAAATACAGAATCTTTGCCGACATCAATATGTTCTTTTTTGAAATTCACAATAATGTAATGCATATTGTAGGTACAAATGTTTACAGTTCACTTAGAGATAGACTTTTAAAAAAGAATGCTAGTCTGTATCCGTATCACAAAGCAGCGCCAAGGACAAGGACAGATACGAAGGACCGAACTTTAGCCTCTTGAATATGTTTTCTTCGCGATCTTACAAAATAAATAACAGCAAAGACAGATAAACTTATATGCGCGATATTCAATGTTGTGTGGCCTCTACTGCAAGTGTAAGACACATAGAGAATAAATGTGGTGTGTGTGTGCTGTTTGGCCTACCAGAAGTGTGCTCTGATCTGGTGAATAGTCTAAATACCAATTGAAATCTAAATGTTGACGTTGTTGCTCCGCTGCTGTTTCCTATATACATGTGCACCGTGAGATCCGTAGTCCCAGCATTTCCGGTTTAGTTTCCCTCGGGCTTTGGCAGATTCGTATCATAGGCACGTATAATGATAGACTGCGGCACAGCTCCGCCCTCCTCTTGGGAAAATGCATATCCATCTGCGAATTTAGACAAGGTCAGTTAGAATCTTGTATGGCAAATCCTTAGGGATGTTATGTGTGGTATCTGTAATGTGTGACTGTGTTTCGTAGTTCTCCCCTGCATAGTTCTCCCCCCAATGATCCCCGGTTTTCGGACCTACTGCTCTGGGTGTCCTACCACTAATGGCTTTTTATTCCTGGAACTGAGTGGTACTCACGCGATAGCTCGAGATCCGTTTCGACTCTCGTGTTGGCACGACGGGTAAAGACATTACGTAGCAGCCGGGCCGTTTCCGTGAATCTGTTGGGTTAATTTTTGAGCGGGTCGGTTACAGTTTAGTAAAGGGTTTGGTTTCAATTTCGTGGGGTGGGGGGATGGGTTTCCATTTTGAATTGTTAGCACTTTACACAGTTCTTGCAGTTACAAGGTCAATCCGAGTTCTACGGCACGGAGATTTTCAGGGGCTTTGGGGCGGAGGAGCATACATACATATGTATAATCAAATCAGGATGAGCAACGAGGTGTGTACCAAATTGAGGGGGCATGCAGAATACGTAATAAATGGAGGAGGAGAGCCTACATATACTTTAAAGTTGGCAAATAAAAGGAATACGATGCGGTTCTGGAGATAAAAATTACAACGATTCTTTGACACTACATAAATCATAAAATTCGTACCATAAAGTGTATACAAGGTTGAGGTCCTATTCACCCCTAAAACTCCCGCCTGCAAAAAAAACCCTTTGAATTGGTGATATGGGTGATATGTATCGTGTTGTGGGTGTAGTTATGGATTTTGTGGCTTTTTTCTGCGATTTACTTACACCGAATTATCGATCCCAAGGCATACATGGTACTGCGCACAGAGACATTTACGCAGAGAACGTTCAGAGAAATTTCAAATAAACATTTTTCAGAATTTTGCTGTTGACTCTTTGACTTTTATTAAATAATATATTGATTAGTTATTGTTGGGTGTGTGTTTTGGGTTCTGCGAGTAGGTGTTGGGTGTTATTGGTTAAGTCGCTTTGTTGGGTGTCGAGTAATACAAAATAAAACATAATAGGTACATACAACATAAGTGCAGAGCGTATCGGATCAGATCGTATTCAGATCGGATTAAAACAATCAGCAGCCATAGAGTTAGTACAAATACATATATATATATCGTTGGCCGAATTAAATTGCATGCGAGCTGGGGGTGGACGGTGCGGGATACATATATTCAAAACTGATAAATACATATCATCTGGGTACCATCACATTCCAATAACGTTGGGATGAGTATGTATATCGGTTGGTTAATCATAGATTGTTTAGTGGTGACTGATTACGCCTTTACAACCTGACAAGTCTCTTAAAAATATACGTTATATGTCGAGCTAATACATAAGTTAACTTAGCCTTTTGGGAATGATGATAACACGGCCCAAAAAACAAAACATTTCCTGATTATTGGCCTATCCTACGTGCCTAACCACCTGGCTACTCCTTAGGCACTATCACAGTTGGCAAATAGTTGTTGGTTAGCACATACAGTATGCGATGTATAAAGAATCCGCTCATATATAGTACACATGGAAATACGATATGAATTCGACAGTTCTTAGGAGGTACTCGATGCGATGCAAGACGGGAAATAGGCCCATTCGGAATGCAAATTACAATACTATACAATGCTCACTTATTACTAATACGGAATAACACTAGTAAAATAATTCGATTTGATTTGCTTTGCCTTCACATGTGCAGAGTGGCCGTGGTGGGTGATCCTCCTCCTCCGCTGCTTCTCCTGGCACTCTGCATTTGGCCTCCCCGCCACTTCTGCCGCTGCCGGCTGCGCTGCTGCTGCTCCGTGTCCACCTCCAGCTCCAGGTTCTCCACCCGCAGATTCGCCGACTCCACACTGGACCGCGACTCCAGGTTGGCGCGCTGATCGTGCGAGATTAGGGCGTGGCTGGATCGTATCAACTTGCCGAGGGCGTATCCGAAACCAGAGTCACTAATGCGTCGCATGGGTGCAGGGATTTTGAAGGGGTCATGGATCGATTGCGAGGCATGGAACATTGGTACATGGATTCAAAGGGATGGAGGATGGCGGATAGAGGAAGACAGAGAGATTACATTTTAGGGATTTCAATTCATTAGATACTTGCTCATGGTGATGCGGTCGAACATTGAGTAAATCTGATTCTGATTGATGCTGGCTCGTTTTTTGTTTTTTTATGTTCTGTCTTAGCTCAATTAAATTGTGTTTGTTTCGTTTAATGCGCCGATTTTATTTAATGACACAGCTCAACACAGCCGATTGTTTATTGTATTTAAATTTTAATTGCATTCAAAATTGCTACAAAATGCGTATCAAACTAGACTAAATACATAACATTTAGATATAAGTTGTAACTCGTATTTAACAATAACTAGTTGTGCGATTTGTATTGTATGTTGGTATGCATTTAAGGAGGTTACCAATGAACATAACACATGACGAGAAGAGAAGGTGTTCAACAACTTATCTTACTCTAGTCTCTAATACTATTTACACATTTATCCGCTAATACTAAGTCAGTTATCCTCGTCTGCGATTTATTTCCTTATTGATTAACACTTGGTGTCCTGGGCTTAACTATTCTTTGTGCGTTCACTTTTAAGTTTATATATATTTGGAGCAATTTTCGGTGGCCAATAGTCAAGAAGATACTTTGGTTTCACGTAATAAGCACTAACATACATCGCAAGTTCAACAAACACAATTCGAGGAGGTGGAAGTGCGGCAACGGAATGATTTGGATTAAGTAAATGCATATATGACCCAAACGAACGCTAAATAATAACTAGGATAGGTTTCGATATCGGTGCAACGACTACAAGAAGCAGGATACTGAGTGCAGGCACATATGTTCAATCAGCCTTGTTTCGGGTTGGTTGGTAGGATCGGGATTTGTAGAAATATCAACGTCTTAGGGGTCTAGTTAATATTCAGCAAATGCGCAACAATTCAAATTGAAAGTATAGATTGGTTTTGTTTTTGGACAAACAAAAACTAAATACATATGAGGGTATGTATGTTCTGGGGACCCTCCGGGCCGGAGGAAAAGCGTACTACTTGGGTCGGAAAGGCGATGGCTTCGATACTTACGAAGATCGCGGCTCGTTCATCACTTCGGAGATGTCGCTGCGTCGAATCTCCGTCTCGCGAACGGCCTCTGTCAGAGTCTTAAAGACGGTGTTGTGCACCCTGGTAAAAGAGTATATGATTCCAGGTATTCAGTGGCATTATCCCCATTCACTCACAGTTTACAGATCACATCGATCAGCAGCGTGGTTATGGGCACCAGCATCAGACAGAAGTAGAAAACCGGCGTCGATAGCAACTGGATGTCCATGCCGCGGAAGTTGCTGGCAAACTTGAACGTCGGCCACACATGGCTGTAGATCAGCAGGAAGCTGAACCACAGCACTATGGAGCCCCAAATGGCCAGGTGGGTCAGCCAGGTCCACGAGTTCGTTATGAGTCCGGCCTTCAGGCAAACGGTCACGATCACATACTGAAAAGGCAGAAAGTAAGTAAGTTACTGAATTCGTAAGTAAGGAAGGAAAGGAGATGCCTCACCGTGTAGACCAGGTTGCCCATCATCAGGTAATCACTGGTCTTGCCATCGCCCCAGATCACCTCGCCCGTGTAGGCGGCCAGCGGCAGCCAGAAAAGGAACACCGAGTGCAGCAGGGCATTGAATATCCAGATCCAGAAGACCTTCACATTGAAGAGTTTGGCGTTCTGCGAGGTTTTGTAGAGCATCGGATACCGGAGCATCGTCTCCGCCGTGCAGAACTTCTCGAAGAGTCCCATGGCGAACGGCGGCATGGCCGTGAAGACCACGTTGTACAGGCCGATGGTCCAGCGCTCGAACAGGATCTGACCCGACCAGCCGGAGTAGAGGGCGAACCACAGTTCGATCACGTACAGGCACACGTTCTTGTAGAAGCTGTACAGGATCAGCTTGGAGATCCTCGCGTAGTTCCAAGCGCCGTGGACCAACAGCAAGCGCTGCAGGTAGCGAAACTGGGCGATGGAGTAGTCCGAGGCGCAGGCCGCCTGAAGACCCTCCACTCCGGATATACCTATGCCCACGTTCGCCTTCTGGATCATGGCCACATCGTTGGCCCCATCGCCAATGGCCAGGGTCACCGCGTTCGTGCTCTGGGTGACCATCTCGACCACCTCGGCCTTTTGCATGGGTGAAACCCTACAGCAGATGACCACGCGGCACAGGAGGCAGAGATCCTGGAAATCGTTGCGCAGGTCACAGCTGAGCGCGTACTTCAGAGTGGTGCCATCGATGACGAGGGCCACATTCACGTCCTTGGCCGACGAACTCTTGAACTCTCCATAGTGACGATGGATCACCTCACGGGTGGCCTGGAAAATAATTTAAAAATGTGAATTAAATTGAATTGAATATCAAGGTTACACCACTGAATAATTCAATTTTTGTTTTATCATAGTATGCCATGAAATTTCTGATTTGTTTAATTCAATTCTATGTGAAATCAATTCAATGTTTTTCTAATTCATTTCGAATTGAATGAATGAATTATTTTTATGAATTCTTTGAATTTGCCAGATTTTTTTTTTTGCTTACTTTTGAGAACAAAAAGTGGAAAATTTTTAACAAATCAATGTTAACTGCATAGTAAATAAAACTCAGGCAGGTTTAATCACAAAATTATGACCCTTTCTTCTTCAAAAGAAATTATCGTTTGAATTTGTTCGAAATTATTTTGAATTATGTCGTTTGAATTATTTCGGAATTCATGCCATTCATTCATTCAATTCTATTAAACTCAAAATTCAAATTCATTCAATTCTATCAAACTCAAAATTCAAATTAATTCATTCATATAAAACAAAAAATACAAAATAATTCATTGAATCCATTCATGCAGGGCTCTACACCACTCACATCGAGGCTCTCCTCGTTGAGGATTATGATGTCCATGGAGTGGCTGATCAGGCGGCAGGAGTAGCCAATGTTGATGGCCGTCTCCTGCTTGTCGCCGGTGAGCACCCAAATGTAGATGCCAGCGTCCAGCAGAGAGGCGATGGTCTCAGGCACGCCATCCTGCAGGCGATCCTCGATGGCCGTGGCGCCCAGCAGGCGCAGGTTGTTCTCAATCAGATTGGCCGCATCCTCCAGCTTGCTCTCCCGGTTCTGCAGGGCCACCGAGGCCTTGTCGAAGGTCTGGCTCCACTCCTCGTACACATCCTGCCGGATGTCGGCCACCGCCAGGCAGAGCGTCCTCAGACCATCCGAGGCGAACTCCTCTAGGTGACGCAGCGTCTGTTCGCGGAAGGCTTGACCCTGCGGGGCCAAACGCTCGTAGATCACCGTGTCCGCTCCCTTGCAGAACAGCTTGATCTTGTTGTCCGGCGTGCGAACAATCAAGGACATGCGCTTGCGCGTCGACGTGAACTCCAGGACATTCAGCACTTCGTACCGCTTCCGGACGCCCAAAGCATTTATCTCCACGTACTTGGGGGTGCGCGTATCGAAGATATATCCGAATCTCTGGGCTCCCTCCACCAGAGCCCGCTCATCGGGACTGGCGGCGTGGTAGATCATAGAGCCGTCGTCCTTGCGCTCGGGGATGACCGTGTGGCACACGGACAGCAGGACCAGGAACTCCTCGATCACGGCGGCCGTCTGATGGCGACTGAGGATGTTCTGCACCAGCTGCGACTCCTCCGGCGTGCGCTCCGGCGTATAGACATAGCCCGCGATGGAGCACTTCTTGAACTCCATCACGTTCTGCGTGAGGGTGCCCGTCTTGTCCGAGAATATGTACTTCACCATGCCCAGCTCCTCGTTCAGGTTCGAGGTGCGGGCCATGGCCGGCGTGTTGGACTGCTCGTGGTACATCTCGATGTCGTAGTTGATAAAGATGGCCTGCAGGAAGCGCACCAGCTCAAGGGTCACCTGCAGCGAGATGGGGATCAGGTTGTTGTACAGAATGAAGAAGGTCAGCAGGTTGTAGCCGAGGCTCTTGGTCTTGAAGTCGGTGAGGCCCAGGTACCAGTCCGTTTCCGAGTGCTCCCGCGTCCAGAACAGATTGCATAGGCCGCTGATGATGCACAGCGAGATGAGGATCATGAAGAGCATGAGGATCTGGGTGTTGGTCAGCTTGTCGACGGTGGAGCGTTTCAGTGGCGCCGAGGTGGAGTTCTTCATCAGCTTCGTCTCCTGGCCCGAGTAGACCACGATCCCAAACACCCAGGCGGTGTTCCGCAGGATGGCACCGCGTTGCAGTACCTGATCATTGCCCAAAGCAGCTGGCCTAAAACGGAGAGGGAAAACGTATCTCTTAGTTCTGTACAATGATAGTAAAAATAACATATTTTAAATAAATAATCGCATAGTGAACTCATAGCTTAAATATGTTAAATTGCGACTAAAGATGCTTAAAAATTTAGAAAATCTTAAATACGATTTACATTTAATACGAATACATTTAATTAAAATATTTGAAATCACAAAAAAGAATAATATCCACGTCTTAAACTTAAACAAACTATTGTTGTTAAATTTAAATTAAATTAAATTTTCAAATTCAAAAGTCATAAAAGCTGAAATAGATACAAATATTGTTTTGTTAAATGTACAAATTAAGGCATGAGGAATTCTTTACTTAATTGGATATTTATATATAAAAAGATTGTTATAAATACGTATTATGTTTGCTTCTAGTTTAAAATATTTGTAAATGCATTTATTGCAAGATCAAAACTATTTTTGTACCCCATTGAAATATATTTCTGCCCTTTTCTCATAAAATAAATACAGAATCTTGACTGGTGTGGTAGCGTTCCTAAAATAAGTTTCAAGATGGGTATCTTTCTGTGTTTACATGTCGTTAAATTTGTTTGTTTGCTTCTGTGTTTATATAACTATTTCATTACCGGCTATTTATACATTAATTACTCACTGCTTGCCGGTCTCCTTGAGCACCCCGTTGAACTCGTATAAATGCCGGTTGGGCAGCTCGCACTCGATCCTGCCCTCCAGTCGCTGCAGATCCTTCGTCTCCAGCAGTTCGGCGGTGGCGGGCAGTGCCTGCCGGATCTTCAGGTTTGTCTCGCCATCCAGATTGGCCGTCTCTATGAAGCACATGGCCTGCGGTTCACTGTGAAACGAAAAGCGGAGGTCAAAATCTGCCAATTGGGGTTAATTAAGGAAACGCACCTGGACGAGAGGAGAATCAGATCGGCGGGGAAGAAGGAATTGATCCCCACTTTTATGATGTCGCCCACTGTTAACTCCGACCAACGGACTGTGTGCCAGGCGCCACTGTCCAGGCGTTCGATCAATCGATGATTAATCTCATTATCAGCACGATGTCGTTTCTAAAAATAATTATACAATTTGTCAACCTGTTAAAAGTTCTTTTAAAATTCTTTAAATATACTTACAATATCCTCAATTATCTCCTTGATGGCGCTCACCGAGAGGATGAACATCAGTGGCACTAGGGTGGTGTAACGACCCGTGGGCGATACCTCCGGGATCTGTTGCAGTATGGCGATTAGCAGGAAAAAACAGTTCGAATACCGCCGAAACTGCTCGAACAGGAACGCGGGCAAAAAGCTAATGAAACTGCATACAAAAGAGACAAATTGCCGGTTATTTCGGTTCAAATCCACTAATTTGGGTCATTGGCTAATTGATATGTAATAAGTGATATACCACTCACCTATATTTTGCCGTCGTTATGCGATTATTACAGTATTTAGTGGGCTGTGGCCCATTTAGGTTTATGACACGCCTCTCCCCATCATCTGCATCGTACCCCGCGGACGAGGTGAAGTCCTCATCATCTGAAAGTATCCATTAAAAGGGTGGTTAATAGGGTGTCATCAAAAGGGTAACAATCAAAAAGCTAAACGGTATTTAATACTGTGACCAACGAGGTTTCTATTAACAGCATATTATGGCTGTATTACTTGTTATCTTTTGAATGCTACTATTTATGATAGCAATCGGGAAAGATAATAAAATAGTATACTTGAATGAAAGCCTGCATATCAGGCATATCTATAAATTTATTTTTATGGCTAGCTATGATAGGAATATTTTATTAATCAGTTGGAAAGCTTAAAAATAATTCTAGCCATTGAATGCTACCAACCCATTTAAATCTAACAAAATATTTCGTATTTAACATAATAAACTAAACTAGGATAAATTCTCTTTTCCAAGTCCAAAATTAAAAACAAATGTGAAACACAACTATTATTTTATTCTTCAACTTCAATGGTCAGAAAAGTGGGTGTCCACCGCCAAGTCCATTCCACCAGATAGAAATTGGCAGCGATCGGATTGCCGAGGGCGTACTTCCGTGCGAATTTGTGACAATTGAAGGTGGAGCGACCTCTTTCCTCGCCCTCGGGAATCAGGGTCTCGTCGAAGTCGAGCTCCAGATATTGCTGGAAGGCCAGAAAGACGATGCGATGGATGTTATTGCCCTCGATGGCCCGCTTGTTGTCGTAGGCGGCAAGCGTTTGACCCAAAGCGACGTCGCAACCCGGAATATTGCCCACCATCCAGATGAGCCACTCCGAGTAATTGTCCGGCGGCACATCCAGGTCGACCATCATTAGCGTATAGAAACGCTCGGGATCGGCCTTGTACCGGATGATCGGCCGGTTGAGCACCTCGTTGATCACTATCGTCATGCCCGGCTTGATATCAATGTTGCAGGGATAAAGCACTGTGATCAGCTCCGTTGGCTTGCAGGCCAGCAGACGCGGGATGACGTGGTGCTGCTTGAGTTCCTTGACCAGTCTCTTCACCGGACAAATCTTCTTGCAGCTCACCAGCATGATGGAGAATTTTGAAAATTTGGATGGGAAGAAGTTTGGAGCTAGGCTCTACCAGCCTGCTATGAAAAGTTATTGATTGTGTTGCTTGAGAATGGATTCTCCATTTCTTACGCCGTTCGTTTTGAATTGCTTAAATGTATTTCAATCAAAATTGATCAATAAAAACATTTAAAAAGTCAGCAAAAATTTTAAAGCTCTACTCCCTGCTTTTTCTGGGTAACTATAATTTCTTCTTGCATTCTAATCTTTTACTAGTTGTATTTCAAATTGGGATTTTTTTGTTGATTTATTTTTAAAGTTGTTTACAAGTTTTATTTGAATAATACATAAATTCCTAAAGTCGTCGCAACTAGAACTTGAAACTTTTGGTAGTTTTGATAGAGGTTGAAAAAGGAACCTCTGTTTAATGCAGAATAAATGATTATAGGAGTCAAAATTTTACTGATTCTATTGTATAAACTTAACGATAATTTTTGCTAAAAAGTATTTTATCACAGACTAAATAATAATTATATTTAGCAGAATAAGTTTTGCCAATAAATGGGTCATTGATAATGTTGCTGAAGGCGACCCATCTATATACTTCAGAGCGCTGACTTATAACTATTGCTGCGACTGAACAAAAGTTATAAAAAACCTTAAATAAGGTTTCCAAATATTTTATTTTAAGATTTTTGGAAGGGAATCTATAAAACATATTGAAGATTGGTTGCAATATTTTTGAAGTCTGCGACACTTACGACTCCAACGGATGCGCAGCGCTTTGTAGACGTTACGAAAGTCCATTTTGACCCGGCGAAAAAACGCAGCACAGCGGAAGCGTCCTGGCTCGATCCCCAGATGGCACCGCTAGCACCGATTCCACCGTCTCCTCGTCCTCCTCCTCTTCCGCTTCCTCCTCCTCGGGTCCGGGTAGCTCGTCGGATCCAGAGTCGCAATCGCCAACCGGCACGAAGGCGATGCTCTCGCCGGCGGTCTCCTCCTGATTCCGCTTGGGAAACCCCAGGATGGAGGGCAGTTGGTCACTGGTCACTGGCACAGCAAGGATAACGAGCCACAAGTGGGCGTGACCGTTGCGTCGAGCGGTATAAGAGTAGCTCCTTGCCGAGTATGATGGCGCCTGCGCTCCCGTTTTTCAATCACTGCGTATAAGAAAACACATTTTCCATCCCATCCGGGGGATTCTGTGGCATGCATTTGCATATACACACAGGCAGGTATGGTATTTGGTTGGAACACTTTGTAACCATTTATTCAGAGTGGTTTCCTAGCTTTTTATACCCGTTACTCGTAGAGTAAAAGGGTATATTGTATTCGTGCAAAAGTATGTAACAGGTAGAAGGAAGCGTTTCCGACCCCATAAAGTATCTATATTCTTGATCAGGATCACTAGCCGAGTCGATCTAGCCATGTCCGTCTGTCCGTCTGTCCGTCTGTCTGTCTGTCTGTCTGTCCGTCTGTCCGTATGAACGTTGAGATGTCGGAAACTATAGAAGCTAGAAGATTGGCATTTTGCATGCTGATTCTAGGAATTCCTACGCAGCGGAAGTTTGTTTCAAGAATGGTGCCACCCCTCTAACGCCCACCATCGCTTATATACGATTTTAAAATTTTAATTTTTTGGAAATAAAAATGCAGTTTTATTGTGTTAATTATACCTATCGAAATGTTGAAGAAATTTCAAATCGGATTGTTCGTTAAACAGTTATGCTTCATCAAAGTTTTCTACCTCCCCCCCCCCCCCCCTTTACCTGTGTAACGGGTATCGATAATAGTGTGCTATAACGAAAGCACTCTTTTTTTGGCTAGCAACTTGGGCGAACAACTTTTTCATTTCCATCACCTGGCAACGTGCGCTCTCCTGTTTGTATCGATTTGTCCAATTGAAGTGACTGCGTTAAGCACGTGATATGCTACTAGCTCACTGATTTATAAGAATTCGGTTTCATAGACGTTGATTCCTTGGTAACTGCTTTCTTGACACTGATTGACAAACGATTGTTCACAGTTACTTCAAAGGTAGATAATAGTGTGCTATAAGAAAGCACTCCACCTCAACAGCGAACTTTAATTTTACTACGTGCGCTCTCCTGAGCTCCGATACTACGACTGAAATAAAATTTCAACGTGCTCGAAGGACCCAGAAAGGACAACAGGGATGGGTTATGCGGGGGGAGGGGGTGGTAACCCGTTTGCGCTCAGGTTGGGCGCCCCTTTGAGCTCAGACTTCCAATCCCCAAAGCTGCGTAGTGCATTCCAAAAGGAGCTTATAAAGCTTGCGAATTATCGTAAACCCAAAACATTGCGTACCACTCGGGGAGATAATGAAAGGGGGGTTTGTAAATGCAAGAGCAAAAGCGAAAGCGAAAGGTGTTAGCAAAACAAAAGGTGAGAAACGACGGAGAGGAGAGCAGAAAAGGGAATACGAAGAGAGCGCGTCTGCGCCATAAGACAAATGCTTGTGGACACTTAGAAAACAGTCGACCTAAAAACTACCCTTACATGTTATTCGAAAGTCAATCCATTTACTTTTTCATAATCCCCATTCGTTAAAGGTTTCGTAAAAAATATTTTTAAAGTCTAGCAACCAATTGCTAACATATTTCATTAAAATATTTCTGGTGAAAGCATTTTTATTATTATCGTTCTCCTTTTTTTCTAGGAATTTAGTAATTTATAATAACGATAAAAATATATACACTTAAATTCAGAAAATACTCAATACGGTCATATCAGCGACTGGAATGTTATCAATAATGTATAAGCGTGCGTTAATAAAAAATTTATTAACGAAATTTCGGGATAACCCCGAGAATTTCACTATAATACCACATGCCTTATTGCTGACGTCTTCCGTTTACTTTGGTTTCGTTTTGTAGAGCTCGAATTGGTGACCCCAATTCAGAATTATGAGACAGACCTGAATAAAATTTTAAGAAAATTTTCCATGTTCCAAAAAAATTAATTTTTTGGAGCCAAATTTTACTACATAAAAGTTACGAATAGTTAGAAAATCGAATAGGTTGTTTAAAAAAAAAATCATAGAATAAATAGGCACCTTTTCGTTTTTTCCTTCCGAGTCCGGTTTTCTTTAGAAGATTTTTCAGTGACAGCCTGCTGCCCCCGGTCACTGGTTCGTTCAGCCTTCGATGCGGATTGCTGCCGTCAGTCTCTGTGACCCCAGGCACGATCCTGGATGGGGCAGGCTGATCGCTGTCCTCCGGCCGTGACCCAGATGGAGGTGCGCCTCCTTCACCGGGCGGAGCCACCTCTGGACCCGTGGTGGCGGTCCGCCGAAGCACCTGGCTCCTCATCCGCCGCACACCACCGCCGATCCAGCTCCGGATACTTGGCCACAGGCTCTGGGCGCCGAAGGTGACTTGGCTGGCGGTCGGATGTCCTTGACTGTGTCCGTTGCGCCCATTCTGGGCGTGGCTGCGGTCGCTGCCCGCTCCATTGTGTCCGTCCCTCTCGTTTTTGCCGGAGTCCGCCATTCTAACATGGCTCCACGACTGCAATTACCCCCACTCTGCACTCTCCACTCACTTGCCGGATCTTATCTGCTGCGACACGACACGATTCAATTAGTGGGTTCACTCAAAGGACCGCCGAGACTTTTCGCAATCGCGAAATTCTATTGCACTTTGGATTTTGCGTTTAACTGTCATTTTAATTCGACGTTGGCGATTTTTATCATATTTTTGCTTGATTTTCAAAAGCTTGCTGCGCTACTGCACACGGCAACAACTTGGAGACTACAGCGTTTAATAAAAGTTGACTGTTAAATCATTTTAATTAAATCACTTAATCTTTTGTATAGAAACACTCAATCTTTTGTATTGAAACAAAATACAATACTTGTACAAAATGTAGGGAATTGTGTGAACGTTGTTTAAATTCTGATTGAAAGCCCGGCTGATATTGTTCTCATTATTAACACGAAATTATAATCGAAAAATTCAGAACAGCTTTTCAATACAATGGAATAATCAATACTGAATTTATAAATAAATGCAAACCAATTTATTTTATTTTTCAAAAAACAATGTAAAATGCCCTGTATCAAATCATTTTTAATGTTCTCTTTAAATGTTTCAGATCATAAACTAAATATAAATATTTTATGCGGGGTCATTTAAAAAACTCCGCTAAAAAAAAATTTAAACAAAAATGCAAAAATGTTTTACTCTGAGGGTCACTTCTGTTGCTGTTTTTCCGAAGGCCAGATATTGATTTACTGCCCATTTGAGGAGGTAATTTAGTTGTCATTAGGTGAAGAACGGACGCAACCAACCCATCAACAATCCACTGAGTTAAAAAAGAAATGGCATTAGGATATGCACACATGATAATCTTTAAATCTGTTTGCCTAACCGCTTTGATTCAGTGTCTGTGCAATTTACCTTGGATTAATTAGCGTTAACCAACGGCCAGTTCCCCCAGGAAGCTCGGCTCGTGCCGTCAGGTAAACACGACAGGTAGACGGCCATAAGGAAATTAAAATACGTATGTTTAGGGGCGTGGTCGTGGGTGGTTGGATGGGTATAATAGACCAGCGAGCATCGACCTCGGAAATCAGAAGCTAACGAAGCGCCCTTTTTGGGCTGTCTGCGCTGACCAAGTGATAAACGAAGTTTTCTATTTGCGTGCACTGTACTACATGTTTTCCGGCCATAACTATATGCTGGTCACCCCCAGCAACAACAACAAACCGAATTATGGCACCCGCAGAGTCATTAAAACGCCCATCGGGGTTCGATTGTCAAAGGATTTTCCGGTGGCACTGGTGCACGTGTGGGGATTTGGAAATTGGATTCCTGAAATGGCGACTGCAGCCAAGGGTCGTTGGGGTTTATCGATTGCTCCAGTTTCTTGGGGAAATGCCTTGCATTCTGCGAGCACATGTAAGTACCTGTAATCAACTCCGAATGGCCTTGATGCCGACTACAAATAACAAACAAACGCAATTACACCTGGCCTGGAAAATCGACCAAATGATATACTCAATTGGACTCGGAGGGAAATTAGTCTTTAATATTAATGGGAAAAGGTTTTCATTGG